CTTTGGTCTTAATAATCAAACATATAGATTCAACATTCAAGCACCATTAAGCAAGGCCAACCTTTTTGAAAAGTGCAAGCAGTCAATTGTATAAAACCAAGGTAAGGAAATTGGTAAAAGGGATTTTGAAAACTTAATTAGTGTACATCGATCTAGAAGGTTGGACTAGCCAAATTTTCATGCTCTCTCTTGTTCAAAGTACATTACTTTAACCAAAATTTACTTAACAAGTAATATCTATCAATTGAATGATATTTGAATCTAATTAGCATTGATATTGCAAATTGGAGCCATTTGTGTAGGTAAAGGGATAAAAGTGTAATATTGGGTAAAAAATTAACAAGAAAAGAAATCAGACGAAAATATAGAGAATAAAATACAGACCAATTAATGTTAAATTAATGACATAAAACATTAAGAAATTAAACTAAGGCGATATAATATTATTATATAGTATAAATGACTTTGTTGTAGAACTTTCTAATTCATGCATGTATCTATATAAAGGTGAAAGGTTAAAGAATTATTAGGATGAGGTTAGACTAAATAAAGTGATGGCATTGGTAGGTTAGGTCATGATTAGATAACTTTTGGAACATACTTAACTTTATTTTCTTCATATCAATCATGTGAAGATAATGATGATGGATAGATGACATGCTTTTTTTAGTAGTTTACGATTATGATTAATTAATTTCATTAATAAGCACAAAAGAGAGTGATATTATTTGACAACGCCTGTGTTCCATTAAAGGGCAGAAAACACAAAAGCAAAGTGACGCAAACATTTTTGTAAATTTTTTTTAAAAAAATTCAGAAAGCAAAATAAAAGATAGATTCCATGTTCAATGCAGCACACGGACACCAGGCCAGGTTCATTATTTTTTAATTTTTAGTTTTTAACTTATATTATTACGTGAGCCATTTTTTTTTTTTTTGGGTTTAATTTTTTTTGATAAAAGTAGTCTTTGCACGTCTGTAATTCATTAAATTTTAAGCCTATTCTTCCCTAACAAAAATTAAGAATAAAATGAAGCTATCCATCTTTAGACCCCTCTAGTTATGGGAACATTATCAATACGTAGTCATCAATTCATCATGGAGGATTAAATTGTACCCGTGTTAATACATAAATTTTTTATAAAGTTACTCTATAATATATACTTCCTCCGTTTCTTTTTAGTTATCCGTTTCTTTAGTTACGTTTGTTGATGCACAAATTAAATCATTAATATCTTTAATTATCGATAAACAAAAATTATAAAAATAATTGATATTATGAAAATATACATGGTGACGAATCTAACAAGATCTTACTTGACTATATTTTTTCTTACATTTAAATCACAAAACATAGTCAAAAGGTGGTATGTGAATAGTGTAAAGTCAAAACATGTCAACTAATAATAAACTTAGGTAATATACTCTACAGTCTATACTGGCTATACAATTAAACTATAATAATAATAATAATAATAATTATTATTATTATTATTATTATTATTGGTTTCCAGCAGCTAGCAAAGTTTTTATCCTAATCTTTAAATAATCCAATCATGAGTTTATAAAGGATGTGATGGACCAAACAGCCAACCGCCGACGTTATAGTGTAATACAACTTTTTACCTTTGTTAATGCTACATGCATGGCCGACATGTCATCTACCAACATTGTGTTTTACATCTCATCTCTTATTATTATTATTATTATTATTATTATTATTGGCCATATTTAGTTATTCATATTAAATATTTGACGTATTTGTCTTTTGTTGTTTTTAAATTGTGTATTCAAAACTCAATTAAGAAGGTTTGTGATTTGTATTAAGAAGTAAATAATAGGTGATATGATTACTTACTAGACAAGTAATATTAGGTCAAGCTAATAGGCAAATAGTAGATTTATTGCATAGTTTAACTTGTCATTTCTTATTGTTTCAAAAAAAAAAAAGAAAAAAAACAAAAAAAAAACCTTGTTAATTATTATTATTATTATTATTTTGAAACATTCTTATTAGTTACTTGTATTACTTGTTCTTGTTAAACTTAGACATTATTACCAAGTAGACAAAATATTGGACAATTTTGATTAATATCTATTAAATATTTAGTCCACTGGGTAATAACATATAATCTAACCCAAACTTATAATTAATGTCTAAAAAATTGATTGTTGATTCGAACTGATCGATAAAATAAGGTAAATGGACATACTTAACTCGAATTAAAAATTGACTCCATTGCATCAATCCTAATTTCTAACAACTTATTGCCACCTTTACTGATATGGATCATTTAAAGACTATTTTGATGGTATTTTCTGACTAGATATGGAACTTTTTGAGAAATACAATGGATGGAAATAAATATGTGAGCATGATTGATGGTTTTTAACCTTCTTATCATACGAGTACTATATAATTTTACAAAGGTTATAAATTTATTCTGAATGTTGGACTTTGGCATTAAATCATACTATATTACATTCCAAGGTGGACTATAAGTCAAATATAATCAACCATATTACAAAGGACAAAAATGTATCTAATCATGATGAGGCTATTCATGACAAATTTGTCTACCATCTTTAGAAAGTTTTACAAAAATAATACAAAAAATTGAAAATATCTGTTGATTCTTATTACGTAAAACAAAACGTAGGAATATACATTAAAGAGATTGAATATTTGTATGGTATTGAATGATACATGCATGGGAATCCAGTTAAATATTACAAGAGAGATTCGGTTGCACCCACCATTCTACAACTAATGCTCATGAAAGTAACGTTAGATCCACATTATCAATTGAGGCAGAAATCATATCCTAATGACAACACTTTGTAGTTTGTACTATAAGTTATAAAAACGGCTAATAATTTGGTTGATGATAGTAAATGATGGTAAAGATAATGAATCATGAATTCTTTGTAAATATATAAGAAAGCTATATGTAAGTTTCTGTTAATAATTCTATTGTTAAACATGTGTGCGGTGGTATTAAGTGATAAATTTAAAAATGGATAAATAAAATGACACTTTTGATCTGTATGAAATCACATATCTATGACCAATCCCTTGTTAGAGGAGTTTGATTGACCAAATATTAAAGTATCAGGTTTCCACGATGGTAATAAATTAAGTAGAGTAGCTCGTTTAACTTTAGGAATAGTTAAAGAAAATTTAACTTCATATAAAACAAATTCTAATATAAAAGTAAATTACTCTATAACTTACTAGACATAAATATTGTTCATTCAATAATTCTTGTTATTCAATGTGAAACAACCAATCCCAATTCAGTAGTAGATTTTCGACTAAAATTAATAAATAAAGGTAAACCAAACAAGTGTAGGAATTTTTGATCAATAACCCGACATTTTTTAAAGGTGATGTATATTTGGGACGTAACAAAGCATTTAATATACCACGTAGAAATGAACGAATGATCGATATTGATTGAGAGCCAACTTCAATTCATTCTTGTGTCCCATAGACTACGTACAAGACCATTCGATGTATACTTGGAACTGTCATATGTCCCTTTGTTACAATACCTCTCCCTTTCATTTTTCCATTTCAGGATGCTGCTTTTTTGGATTGAGGACTTGTAAACTAGTAGGTCAAAACCTAGCTATTTGCGCTTCAGCAAATTCTGTACACAATTTTTTTTTTTTTTTTAAATAATTTGCCTAACTTGTACAAAGTATAACTTTAATAGGCACTCAAGGGTTCTATTGAGAAATTATTGGGTGGTACTCCGTATAAGATTATTATGCTATCTATACTCTATAGTTGTAGGCTTGTAGCTAATTCTAAAATTACGTGTATTAGTTTTCCCAAAAATTAAAGATATTAAGGTTGATCAAATTTGTAGAACCCTAGAACCTTTAGGATTTTTGACAATATAGTCTTACTGCCTGTTCACATTTACTTAATTTCAATTCAGTTCAGTTCAGCTTCAATCAGTTCAATTCAGTTTAGCTCCAATCAGTTCAGTTCAGTTCATAATTTCCTTCTCTCATAAATTATTCATTTCAGCTCTGTTCAGTTAGTCCAGCTCTAATCAATCAGTTCAGCTCTAATCAGTTCAGCTCATGTGAACAGGCCCTTAGACATTTACATAATTTTCTATTTAAAGTTGCAAATTCATTGAACAGATTTAGAAAAAGTTAGCCTCAATAGCGTACATCTACAACATTTCCATAAGGAGAGAAGGCTACATGAAAGTCTTGGACCAAGGATACTATGCTTGCTTCATTGAGGATCAATCACAAATTCACAAGTATTAGCACAAAATGAGACGAAAGTCACTTTGTCTTACACAATAGTTAATCATTCCGAAGATGGTATATGACGTTTAGCATAATATTATTCATATTGGCAAAGTTAGAAGTTTTAAATTCCTTCTACATTGTTCTTTACTGACTCCAGAAAAAATGAGAAAGCCTATCTCCATAGACAATTACCAAACTTCATATCAGCTATCACATCATTTTAATTGTTCTGACTTCTGACATACACTCGTGAGGCTAATTTGAAGTTATAAATTCAAATCGAAGTTACGCAAAGCTTGTCATAAATTCTAGCAAACCATCATTAATACGGAGTAATCTCTAAGAGTACTCAACTAGTTTTCAATGCTCAATAGAATAGATGAAAGCGATATTATCATAATAAATTACTATGATTGAATGGAATGAACTGTAAAAGACCAACCATTCATAATCTTATGAAGATTTTTTTCGAAATTTATTCTCTATATTGGAGCATGCATTTTTGTTTCCAACACCATTGCTAAAATTTACTACCTCACTATTGTGAGTTTTTCCTTCAGGATCTTGGAGATAAAACTCTGGTTCCGCCACTGACCTGTATTGTTTAACCCCTCATCGCTTGTTACCATCACAGCGGTTGTAATGAGCGCAGTCCATCTGTTTTCCCTGCCTTCCAAAACTATACACTATTCTCATCTAAATACTTTGTAGTATTCTGTACACCATTTGTTTTCAACTTATCCACGATAAATCTTTCAGTAATTATATCTGATATTAGCATTGTATTCAGAGTTTCTGGAGCTCAAAGAGTTTATGTATTACTTACAAATGCTTATAGGTTATATAACCTACAGTATAATGGAAAGAGAAAAAACGTAAAAAAGGGCCATCCGAAGAAATGAAAAAAGAAAAGAAAAACATGTTCAACACTCCAATTAGTATGACATATCCTATCAGTATAGCTCATAGTACTCAAGTTATATATATATATACAGGTAAATAAAAGAAAAATGTGGGTAGTAACAGTACTCATAGAGGCTTCAGAAGGGGGTAATCTTCAAGTAATTCTCTCTCTGACAATGTATCATTTTCATTCTGAGGAGTCCAAAGCACCTCTACTGCCTGCAAGGATTTTATTATCTTTTAAAAATACGCCCAAGACGATGGAACAATAAATCAGATAAGCTGAATTTGTTCCCACAGAACTTGCTCTTACTTCCTTTTATGCAAATTATCTACTTGTGTTCAAATTTTAACGGATTGAAAGAAAATTAAGCAGGATTACTTACCATGGTTTTACTTGACGGGGTGGATCCAAGCTTTTGCAGGGCTTCTTTCAAATCCATGCTCCCGTTAATGGTAGGCATTTTAACTACTCCTTCAGCAGCCACCAAAATGGTAATCTGAACAAATATTGACATTGGCATTAATAAAATCTTGAGTGGTTAAGTACAAGATGATTACTGTTCCAAAAAAAAAAAAAAAAAAAAAAAAGAAAAAGTACAAGATTATTAAGTCAAAATGAAGTTTCATTAAACTCCAACAAGTACCCTTTCAATTTGCAGTGGGGAAAGGGGATTAAGTTTAAAAAAAAAGTTCAAAATCAAATGACAAGAATGTAGCAATAGCCAGCCATGCTATGAATACAATGCCATACTTACTAGCAGAGCCAAAATAGACTTAAAGCCGCGGAAAAACTAGAATAAAAAAGGGAAATATCACCTCTGTTGGTGAGACTCAAAAAGCTTCTATAACTAGTTAAATACGCACAATTTTTTAAGCACCAATGGCTAAAACCAAAATCTATTGTATATCAAGGACTCAATGTCCAATGGCACAATTCTCTTGTGAGTTTATACACTAAGCATTTATAAAATACAAGAAGAGGCTTGGCTTAGTTGGCCAAGTCTCTCAAATTCCAGGTGAGAGACCTGGATTCAGAGGCGTAGCAAAGATTTTTAAGCTAGGGGGGCCGACGGTTGAATTATATAAATATATAGCTTATTATTATAACATTTTTTTCCTGAATTGCAATTTATGAGTTTTCAAATAAAAAAAATGCCAATAATAACAGATTTCATGTTAAAATTATTGACAATTTATTTTCTTATGTATAAAACCAGAGTAAATTCACTTGTTGACTATCAACCACTCACTTTAAATTAAGAGCTTCTTATTTCATGATTATACCCATCATATTAATAAAAAAAAAAAAAAAAGGTGATGTATAGACAAATTATTATATTACTGAACTAGTAGACAAAATTATCCAATTCTATAGACAAATTAATTAGACAAAATTATCCGATTGAATACAAGTAGAAGATTGAAGAATTGAAAAGATAATTCGCTTATGGAAGAGTTGAAGAACTTTAGTATAGAATTTTGGCAAAAAAAAAAAAAAAAAAAAAGAGAGGAAAAAATAAAAATGTTGAAAAAATATTAATAATAAATCACTAAGTAAGATCAAACCTTGAACCTATGGGGAAATGGTAAACCCACTTACCACTAGGCTACCAGAATTTCAACAACTTATATGAAATTATTAACATATATACTATTAACCTGGAGGGGCCGGTTAATAAAATTAAGGGCCGCTGGTTTGAGCTAGAGGGGCCGGGCCTCTGGGAGCCCCACCTATAGCTCCGCTCCTTCCTGGGTTCGATTCTCATCAAACTCACCTTGGGAGGATTTCCCTTATTCCCCCCTCTCAAGGTTAGTGTTTACCTTACCAATTTTACAAAAAAAAAAAATACTACCTCTGTTTCGTATTAGTTGCAACTTTGGAATATTTTATATCTCACAAATAATACCCCAAAGTTGCAACTAATAAGAAACGGAGGTAGTAGAAAAAAAAAAAGTTACAGGTGAATTTAATTGTTTCTTTCATAAGACAGAAGAATTTCTATTTTTCTAGAATGAGAACTATTGAAAATTTAGCAAATTTCATCACCATTCTCAATTTTGCTAAAGCATCTAATTAGCAATTAGAAAATGGCCAAGTAGAAGAGGCTTATTTAGAATAAATATGGCTTTTAGCAAGCTTTATATTAGCATTTTGGTAAGTTTGCGTCTTTGAGCCTAAACATCAAAAAAATATGTTTGGTAAATGACTTTTCAATAGAAAAAGCTAAAGAAAAGTTAAATGACAGTTTTTACCAAACTGTAGTCATTTCAACAACCAAAAAAATGTTTTATCAAACATCTTTATTAACTCAAATAATACAAACAGCCCACTAACATGATGGCAATCAATTGTAGGCTAGTTCACTTGGCTTGTTTGGCAACTGTTTGAATCAGCTATCGATACAAACAACCCATGACCATGATGGTAGTCAATTGTTTAATGCTGGTCAACTATTTGCATTAGCCATAAATAAAAATGTTTCGTAGAAAATAAATTGCTGGTTGTTAGATCTTAGATGTTACTATGTAGTAGTAAGCAACTTGTACACTTTTAGCTAAAAAAAGTGCCAAAGAGCTGCTCTTGACAGCTTATTCATCTTGGCTTATTGAAAAACCATTTACCAAACATTTATTTTAATTGATTGACCAAAATATCACACTAATAACCAACAGAAAAGCCACATCAGAAACAAAAGAGAAAATGCTAATCCATCCCCCCCCCTCCCCCCCGGGGGGGGGGGGGGGCAGAGTTACTCAATCAAAGAGCAAGCAATTACTAAATTCAGCATAAGAAGTTATCCAATGATTAGTTGATTACCACTATGTACTCATTGCTATATCCACTGGCTCTCGTGCTTCTGGTGCTCTGCCTCTTTAAGTTATTCACATTTACGAGTGTTTCTTCATCAAATTTACCACGTTCCTCAATGGAAAGTTGATTGAACCTCTTTTCTCCCTCCTCAATACTCTTTTTGATGTCAACCTGATGATTGTCAAATTGAACATATCAATTACCCATTTTATAAAAAATAAGCAAAGTAGCATCAATAGGTGAGGTCACAAAAATTGCTGCATTAAGGGAAAGATAAAGCAAAAAAAGAGATTAAAAAAGTAATACCTTGGCATAAATCTGAATAACAAAATAATAATCAGTTATCATATACTAAGGGCAAACAGGCAAAGTGATCCAAATCCCAATTCCAATTCCAATCCCAGCCCCAACAAAACCACGAAAAGGAAAAAGAAAAAGAGGAAGGGAGAGCTTACTCCTCTTTTCTACCTCAGTCACAAACACCTCCCTACAAATTATGGGCCTATGAGAACCACAGCAGTTTGGATCAAAGGTAAGCCTTACATAGGTGCTTCCACAAATTTTGAATATGTATATCATAAGCAAATTGGAAAAAAAAAACTTGAGCCATCATTTTAGAGGTAATAGACTAATAGCTGATTTCCTCTCAGATATTCTTTGTTGCCAGAAGAGAAGCTCTGGATTCTGATGGTTGTGAATTAAGTCATACACCTACATCCAAAATGGCTTTAACATATCATCATCCAACAACTCTAGATAATTACATCCATTTACTATCCCTTTTCAATTATTCAGGGTCAATGGAAAGGGGTATGAATAGCCAGCAAGCAGGTTCAACCTTTCCGATGGTCAGGAAGGCCTTAGGATGAATGGTTAAATAAGAAGTTCAGAACAAATCTTCATCCCCAGGGGGCCAATTTTTCAAAGCAGTAATTCATACCATGGAAAATTTCTGAGCATATACGACTAAGCGATAAGATATAGTGTGCCCACAGAGTCAACTTGGTGGTAATGTAATTCCGATTGTCTTCCTGCTCTAGAGAGTTTCTCTAATATTGTACCAATTAGCATATTAAAACTCCTCATAAAGATACATTCAGTGATTTCACCAAAAGCTTTTGATGAACATTGAACAACAACAATGAACAATGTTGAAGTCTTATTCCCAATATGATGGGGCTGCCCACATGAACCAAAAAATTAGGCTTCAGTGATTGACAACATCAATCCTCTCCCTTCACTTATCAAGTGATATACACTTCCCTAAACTTAATTTCCTCAAATCATTCTTAACTCTCACCAATTAAGTCATCTTTGGCCTCCCTCGGCTGGTTTAAAATTCCCATAACCCCAACTGCCCACTTTCTTAGTTTCTTATTCATCTTCTTGGTTAATGCTCCACAAGTTGATCAACATAGATGACTCTTATTTCAGCCTCAAAGCCCTCAATGGTAACCTTTATTCCATATATCTTTAAACTATATTTTATTTCTTAAGCTGTTCACACAAATTATTTGAACAAACAAATTTCAAATACTCCTAAAGGCCAAAATTCCAACACATAGAACTACGATTGTCTAATAGCCAGCTTATAGAAGTTTCCTTTTAACCTCAGAGGTGCTACCATCACGCAATATCCCAATTGTTGGTCTCAAATTGATCCATCCAGACTTAATTCAGTTAGTGGCATCTGGTTTTAAACTGAACTCACTTTTGGTGAGCTACATACAGCTAACAAGCTTATTATCTTGAAAGTTTCCATGAGATGAAATTGTGCAGTAGCGTGCTAGTATAAATCAAACCAAGTCTATGGCTTATGCACTTAAGCATTGTTCATTATCTCAAAAAATATTTTCAAAAATCATAAATTTGAGTAAGTTCAGACTTCAGGTAAAGAACCAATTTGTAACAAGTTCAGGTATGTTCAAAAGGCTTTGAGTTGGGGAAAAAAACCCCAAAGCCTTATATCCTTGCAATTGATCAAGATACTAGTGCATACCCACTTTTATGATGATCTCTAATCCCATTCCCTAAGAAAAAAGGGACACAGGATAGTGGAAGTAATCGCCAGTCTTTCTCTTTTTCAGACACATTAGCTGGACTTGATATCAATTCAATGGTATTCAGCTTCAGCTATCAAATTTAGGGTGAAAGAATTGTAGGCCAAAGGAAGCATAAACAAGAAAGATAAGCTGAGTAACCAGCCAGCCTAAATAAAGAGTAAAAGTAGAAAGATGTCTCTCAACTTACAAAATCTTTTGATCAACAGTCGGATATCTATTCAAAGCAGTAACTAAAGCAAAATGTCCTTCCTGTTACGCTCCTTTGATTTCACACCGGAATGACTAAACTTTATTCTATGGAAACATACCGTATGATGCAGTATTCCCACTGCTCCCTCTCTTTTTACTGATTCTAGCCTCATATAACCAGGTCTGAGTGTCTGACATGTAATTATAAAACGGTGACCCACAAGCTTCTACAAGACACCAATTAGTCAGCCATTCTTGATACCAATTCTGGTCCTTTTAATCTACCCCCCTGGCCCCTGTTCATGAAGTGGGAAGCTGATTTCACTACCATCAATGAACCTTGCAAGGACATTAGTGCTGGAATAGTGTGTGAATTTTAGAGTATCTGGCAGCCGATATATAGGAATGTTAGTAGCCAGTCCCATCACTAGCATTATATTATATCAAGTGTCTCCACAGTGTGGCCAGCACAAAATCAAAGTAGGGGGACACTGTGTCACTGTCTATTTTCTTTTTCCCAATCAATAGGTTTCTATTATTTTGCAGAAAACAAAATATTAGCATACTCGGTACTCAACAAAAAAGCATTTAGCAAAAAATGAATGTCACAGCTTAAACTCTTCAACTATGAGAACAGAATTATACGGAGTAAATATGAAACTAATTCTTATTACTACGTATATCATATCGAAAAAAATGATATCAGATATTAAATACATAAATTCTTTCAATAAATGATGTCAATTAGCATATCAATTAAAAATAACTCGTCTGAGTGTAATAATTAATAATAAATAATAATGATAATAAGTTTTAATTTCTGTAACAGAAAATCGTTCCCAATCCAACAGTAAATCAACTCACAGATGAATAAGCTGAGATGCAATAATCAGGATGACGAAGCAAGGCCAGCATTGTTTCTGCAAGCATCAAAATTAAACAATCTTGCACGCGTAAGACAAAGTTAATATAGAAGAATAGGCTTTCAACAAAACACCCACACCCCCTCTCCACCCAAAAGAAAGAAACAAAGAACCGTCAGCTAAGACCTTAAATAGCACGCCGAGAAGAACAGAAAAGGAGAAAGCAAATACAGTAAAGCCTCCCATGATATAGGAAGATGAAGCAAGAAGTGAACTAGATGACCGATATGAATATATGATAAGCTGAAAAAAGCAATTTTCTAGCAAAAATATCACAAAACAGAAAGATCATTGTATTTATTCTTTTCAAAATGGGCAAAAAGATCACAGAGTGATCAAAGGTTTGCAGATAATGAAACTAACATGATAATATTTTGAATCATCATTAGAGCACTCAATAAATTCAAAATAAGTGATTCATAGTGAAAATTATACTGTATAATATTTAACTCAATACCATTAAAACCATAGCTAACAAATCTAGTCATTCCTCCTACTCTCCCCCCGCCCCCCCCCCCCCCCCACACACACACACATACACGGTCCCAAAAAAAAAAGGAGAAAGAGCAAATTAAAGAACACAGTAAAAAGCTACTTTATCGATAAAGTATTCACACAAATATAATTGGAAAAAAAAATTAAGAAGCTGCTAGTCAGCTGCAAATCTGAGGAATTAGTAAATATTCACAACCCACATTAGTCTACACTTATCGGCAATCATAGTTGCAACCCCTTAAGCCAGCAGTAGCTAGTTGCTATGATTAAAAAAGGAAAAAGAAGAAGAAAAAAAAAAAAACACTTCACTGCCACTTACTTAAAAAGACAATCCGGCACCCTTACCATTGCTATTCTAATCAAGCCGAAACCAACTAAACACTACACAGCTGTTGTCCTCTTAACTGCCAATAAATAAATCAACAAGGACTATAAATTGCAAGAAGATTATACAGCAATTCCAAACCAATTTTAAAAAGGTCTAGGCAATATCATGGCTTCAAGTAATACCCATAGATAGGACTCATAGGAGGCATTTACCCCCTGCTAGCTTCACTCCCTAATTTCATCTTAATAGACAACAATCACATGCAAGGCACACCATAGCAATACTAAGAAGTTATATAATTACATGCCACAGAAGCTATACACTGCCATGGAATGAAAAATCACAAATGGACATAGTACTTTAAGCAGAGAAAGATTAATGTCAAATGAAGAATGTAATGCTATACCCACCTGTTAAAACAAAGTTTAGACCCTCTGGGGTTGATGTATCAGCAACTTCAGCAATCCGGTTGAGATCACTTTGAAGTGATCGTGCCATGCCCAACAGTCCAACCTAAAAAAAATCAGAACTAATGAATAAATAACAGCAATAATATGGACCAGAAAATTCAAATCATACATTCAATAAAGGGCTAAAGGCTATATTACAATACTTAGAAACATGGTTCAATACTTCCAAAAATAGTCGAGCCAATTTTCTGCAAATAATGCATGCGAGGAGGGCCCTGTTACAATACTTAAAAACATACTTTAACACTTCAACAAATGGACATGGTGGTTTCAAAAAAGGTTCAGATGCACAGTACAGTTTTACCCCTGGCCAACGTAACCAGTAAAAAGGTTGTTGTTTCAGGAACAAGTGAACCACAAACAACCATTTTAAGGAATAATTATAACATAAGATTCCTATGAGTACTTAAATTAAGGTGTAATCCCAAATCTATTAAAGTCTTCCACGTCAAATATACAATCATCTAGAGTCCTATATAAGTTACATGATTTTCCAGCTCACTTCCAAAATCATAATGCTCTTGTTCTCAACTTCTCATCCCAATTATCAAGTGAAAATATCACAAAATATCAGCACTATTTAAAGAAAGCAAAAGAGCCAATCCCTCAAGCTGTACTTCAAGCCCTCCTTATCCAATTCCCAAGTTATTGAACTAAAAGATAGCAATACACTAGTCAAGGCTACTACTCCCTGCATCCCACTTTAACAAAGCCACAATTTACTTTGGAACGTCCAAAAATAATAGGCCACTATTCATATGTAGTAAGCAAAAACCATAATTTTTCCCATATTAATCTTACTAATATTAGGTTTAAATCTGCAGTATCTTAATAAGATGATTGTTCTCAATAGTCACAAAAGTTTTCAAGGGATATATGGTATATCAAGCCAATTTCATAAAAAGACATCTTACCAACTAGGGCCTACTAAAGTGTCCGGAAATAGAGTAATAAGTTAAGCATCCCAATACATTCTTGTCTAACTCTAAAATTACCAAATGAAAATCAGGGAAATGATACACAAAGTAAAACTCTTTATGTATTTCCAAACATCCATAGTTGAAATTTAAATGAGTTCTTTCCAAATTAGAACATAAAAAGCTACCACTAAAATATTGATCAAGCTAAAAGCCAAAGTAGAAATTTAAATGAGTTATTTCCAAATTAGCTCATAAAAAAAGCTACCACTAAAATATTGATCAAACTAACAACAAAAGTACAAAAAACACATTACCTGAAGCTTGATCACACTAGTTCTCTCAGTAGCAGTCATAACCCCACCATCAGACCGATCAGAAAGGAACCCAGAAACCAAAATAAATGCAGCAAATCCCATCATAATAAAGAACAAACTAGAACCAGCTCCAACCCCAAACGCCGGTCCAACATACAACCCAGCACCTCCAAATGGCGATGGTGCGAAATACGGTACCGATTGTGAAAACCCGGGACTCGAGGGCCGAACAGTGTAGCTCTTAGACCCTGACATTGACGATCTTGAAGAAAATGATCGCCCTCCCATTCTCCCACCGGAAGCCGCCAAAGCAGAATTTGGGTCATACATTAACAAAGCACCAACTAACAAAGCCGCAATTGCAGGCTTCTTAAGCGCCTTTAAGGCCTCAGAAATCTTATCAAGAACAAACCCAATTGAATTTAGGGTCTTCTCTTTGATACCCAGTTCGGAATCGGGAGAATTCGGGTTTTTGGCGTCGCATTTTGGGGTAAATTTGAAGGGTTTTGGGGAAAATTTAGGGTTTATAGAAGGGGAAGAAAAAGGGGTTAATGAGGTTAATCGAATTGGGTAAGGACGCAAAAGAGGGGTGGATTGAGGAGAGAGAAAATTAGGGTGTTTAGCCGTGGTTAATGCGGAAGGTTCGAGAAGTAAGGCGGTTGCCATTGATGAAAGCTTGGATTTTGAAGGTGAAATTTTTAATTTTTTTTAGGGGTTTTAAAGGGGAAGATATTGTTGAAGAAGATGAACCATAGAATCGAAGTAAGGTGGGAAATGGAAGAGTGGTGGGCTGCTTTCCAGCGCCAAAAATGAAAAACCTCATCCTATTTGTATTTTGGATTTTAGATTTTACTTGTAAAAATAATTACAGTATAATTTAATTTAAAATTAATTTAGAAGCCTAATTGCACGTGACTTTTCTGAGGAGCACGTGGGATGTGGTGTGATTTGGAATTAGAAATTAGTCAATTGGACTAACAAATAACAACTACTACCTCTGTTAAATATTACGGAATAGTTGTAATTTTAAAATATTTATATCTCACAAATAATATCTCAAACTTGCAATTAATACTCAATGGAGGTAAAAATTCCATCACTCACTAGTCACTAGAGTTATTATCGAGGATCGAAATTCTCTAAAATGTACCTAATCGCAAATCAAATTGTCTATGTGCAATAGATTATCCACTCTTCAAAATTCTTATTTAGGGAATTAATCTTCCTCCTCGAATTTTGTAATTTAGGCTCTGTTCAATTCATTTTAAAATAAAACTATGTAGTATTCAGGAAAAATAAGTTCAATTCAGTAAAAATATAATTTTCTTTTGACATGTAGTAAAAATAGTGTCAGTTTAGTTCAATAAAAATAATTTTTATCTAGTAATATTTAGTAACTTCATAAAACAAATATACTTGATAATCAGTAAAAAAATTTGCAAGCTTTAATCAGTAAAAATAATTAGTAAATCCAAGTTGATATGTCATATTAACAAATTTTGTTGATCAGGTGGCAAACTTGTAAATATGAACGCTACTATTCATTATTTTAATATTACTTTTACAAGCTATTGTTTTATTATTTTCAAGTTGATTGAAAGCGACATGTTTCTACCGTTTGGCAGCAGTAACAGTGAATTGAAAGTGGGCTTCAGTTTTCATTTTCTCTATCTTTCTCAATCGTTTCCCCCCTTCTTCAATCGATTAATAACACCAACAAAGCAACAAATTTATCAATGTAAATTATAATTATCAGTTGCACAAAAGAATGAGGTAATTTCTTTTAATTTCGCAAAGTAATTGTCACAAAAGTACAGGCTGCCACTGATGAATCTTAGCTTTAATGGATAATAAGAGGAGGTTCTGCTTCAATGGTGAACAGGGGAGGGAAAGCTCATCACCTACTCTTTGGGGTTAACCTTACCTTTTATTTCTCAATTTGTTTTTAGGGATTTTAGTTAATTGGTATTGGTGATGTCAAAATAGAAGTAGCTTGAAGATGAGTGGGAGGAAGAAGATGTTGGTGTTGATGATGTCCCAATCGAAGTAGCTTGAAGATTTGTGGGAGGAAGAATAAGATGAAGGTGGGTGAGGAAGGAGAAAGATGACAAAGGTCAACGTCAGTTAAAAGCCCATCCAATAAAGTTTGCTGCAAATCACGCATATATCCCTAACTTATAATTTGAGAAGACTATACTACCCCAAGATTACGTAAAACACTAAAACGTTTATCAAGTAGATCAACTGAGTGTGGCTCAAAAATTAATTTCAGCTCAACAAAAATAATAATTCCAAACCTGAATACAAATCTGCTAGAAAGGGTCGAGCCTTGTCTAAAAATTATCAATCCATATCACGTCCAACCATAGCATTGGTAATGGTTGGTTCTTTAAGATGCTAGGGGGATAATTTTATTGCAATTTTTAAAATATGATTGAGAAATATATACTTCGTACTAAGTAAATTAAAAAGGCCCAGTTGTCAAGTATATCATATCTAATTCAATTAGGTACATCATGGATAAGCATTTCACATTGACGTAACAGAAATATTAAGGGACTTCAAGAATCATTAATGGTAATAGCAGAGTTTTTCATTCTCCTCCATACGCCCTGCTCCCCAAAAATGAGCAACATTGACGTTCACAAATCTTTTATTAGACTACAAAAATGGCCATATGATAAGCATGGATAAAATTCTAGTCAAAAGCCATCTAGATTAGCTTTCCAAATTTCAACAGAAAGATGCATATTCTGCCAAAAAATGCTTGTACTCAGAGGAAAACTCGCTCCAATAGCTTCTACGGACTTACAAAAGAAAATGTATTGACCTTAGTGAAATGGCATGATAGTATTCCATCTTCCTTCTTCATCAGGTAGCCATCTTGTAGTTGGTACAAGTAATCATCTTCAAGACTGCTTCATCCTCACTTCAACTTGTGACGAAAAAATCAAGTGTACTAATGGCTGATGAACAGTGCAGGCCTAAACCCAGTAACCCATATTACCAAAACTCGTATGGCAGGATGATATCCATTTTTGCATTTTTCTTGTCAAATATAAACAAGAACTGCAGGATGTCACTAACACGCTGATTATGTACCAGTTTCATGTATAATTTAGATCTCTTGAAGTTTGATACAATATGAAGCACACATCCTGCACTAGACATGCAGAAAACATTTTCAATTGCTAAAATTGCTTAGGAAATAGGAACAAGAGACTAATTTAAACAGGATGGATGGGTAAAGATCTGCAGAACTACTGTCCAGATATTGTATTTGGAGTGAGAGAGAGAGAGAGATCTTGCAAAATTACCAGAAGGTTATACAGAGAAGTTGCTCAAAAGTAACACATTTATGGACAGGAAGACTCCCAATGCAGCTACCTTTGCCAAGTCAGACTGTGAGACAATTTATTTTTAGCTGATAATAATGATAATCATCTCTACATAGTACGGGATCCTGGTCATTCTTTTCTGTGAATGCTGTCAGAAGATGTCCTGTTTTCCCCTGATGCTTGTTGCCTTTAGATTCTTAGTTATTGTCCTCCATGCCAGAAGTCTTTGGCAAGATCTGTCTAAAATTCTTTAAGCTCTGCAAGTAAACAGATCAATTTGATTATTTGAAACTTACATATTGTGACCAAGACTTGCAAACAAAAAAAAAAAAAAATCTTTGGAAAAAAAAAAAAAAAAAAAAAACAGCAGCCTGAAGTAAAAGTAGGTGATCAGCGGAAATGTGATAGCTATGATGTCCATTGATGTGATGACTACGGAACTATGATGTACATATAAAAACAGTAGGTAAAAAGGAGAATGGTTGAATCGTTTAGGCTATCAAATGATTATTCTTAGCTTCACAGACAAAGCAGTGAAGTAGTGGTTCTCAAAAAAAAAAAAAAAAAAGCACTGGGGTAGTGGACATACATAATAATGCAACGGTCAGGTAGGATATATTGTACAAACAATCTGTCACACAATCAGATTGACAAGTTGGAGTAAAATAATTGTAACGAAAGATGAAAGAAAATTCTGCATATGGCAAGCTGTGGTTCAGTTGTAATAATATTTTATACATACCTTGTTTGCTTCCAAGTCCTGTTTGATGAAGAATTTCTGATCAACGTTGCTGACATCGATCAATGAATAAACTCATGAGAACTATTTGGTCCTGTTTTTCAAATCACATAAGGCAAAGCTAAGAGGGTTGTTCTTGCTCCTTCATTCCCAATCTTTCTATTCAGGATAATGCTCTATATTGTGCAATAAAGTATTTCACAAGTCCTTGTGAAGCAAGAAGAAAACAGAGGAAAGAGAGTAGATTCCACTCTTACAGCAAGCAATGGATGCACTTGGGTGCGAGGCCAATAAGGACACTTGACGTTGAAGAAGTACTGCCAGCCAGCTGAAGTCAAGGCTTCGTTGTTACTTAGGACAATGGTTTCCAAGCTAGAGACTAACAGTCACTCGTACCCTTTCCTTTAATAGGCTCATAAGCTTATGGGCTTCTGGGATTTGAAGAGCATAGCTGCATCTTAAAATTTCTTACAATTTCCTCTGATGAAGAAACAAGAGGTATGACAATCTTACTTTCTATTGCTTCCAAGGCCTTGATTGAGCCCTAAAATTGGCACCAGTTGTATATCAAGAAAAGGTATACCTCATTTACACTGAATCGAACTCACAAATCTCATATGCATCATCAGACAACAGTCAACTGCAGAACACGCAGCTCGCCTACATTGAGGATCAGCTTGGTGAAAGGTGTAAAGCTGCCATACAGCAATGTCAGATACATCCATTGGTTGATGGAGCAAACTAACAAGTGAACAACTTTTAAAAGTTTGATATCCTTTGTAATAAAGCACACATCCTTCATACAGAGCCCACTTCCATAATATTGAAGACTCCAGTAAATAGCAGCAGATGACTGGAATTAACAAAATTGATCAAGCTTTCCTTTCGAGCATCATCGTGTTGTAATGAACAAGTAGTAGTAATTAGTTTCTTTAAACCATTTCCTCGGAAGGGAGCCACTTTAAACCCTGGGCAAGTCATCAGAATCAACAATTGTCACGAACTATACACCCAAAAGAAAAAGGAAAAACAAACATCTGAAAAATAAGGACCGGCGGTAAATATCATTAAGCTGCAACTCTACATGGACTAAAATTATCCACAAATACTGAATTACTAGATCTCAGACTGGCCATATTTTAGAAATTTTGCATCTTTGACCAAAGATGAAAGATCCAGATGGCCACACACATTTATCAGAGAATTTAGTTTTTGAGTATCTGACATGGGCACTTTTGTTGATCAAAAGACTAAAGGTATGTAAGATATGCCAACAAAGGGTGCAACAGACAACTAGAGCTGTCTCTGCATTGTCAGATTTGTCACTCTAAATTGACAAGTCAGCTACTAAGCAAATTAGTAAAAAGTTAATATTCATCCTAGGAAAATGACCTTGAAAACAAATTTGTATGGTCAACTATAGAATTGTGGTACCTTGAAGTTCAAGAATATTTGGAGAATTTGCCAAAAACCAACAATAAAGGGCTCATTTGGCAATACTATCAGTTGTGGTTTTATGATTTTGAAAGTCACAAGATCTAAATAGAATTATGAAATAAAATAAGTTAACCTACACTAATGAACACAAATTCTGACAAAAATGTTGATAAAGAACAAGCCCTAAGATTCACATTTGAAAACAGCGACCTTTAAAAAACAGGAATATTTGTCAAAAAGACCTTTTATGTTACCCATTTTGTGAGAAAGGACCTTTAAAAAAAGGTGGAGAAAAGGACCTTTTATGTGTTTTTATATCATGAAATGGGACCTTACATCAAAAACGTATATGCCTCTGTGGTTTTGTACATAAGTGTCTTGCTTCTTAACATTAAGGTTCAGGCAATAACTTCAAAGATAAATAATTTAAAGTTATACAAAATTTAGAAACTTAAGAAGTTTAATAAATCAAGCCACTTTAGAAATTGGAACCAGGAAAATAGCAACTTCATCAACATTCTTTAAGCACACAACGAAAATTATAAATGCAAAGGTAAGAAAAGAGGGAGAGAAGAAACAAACCATCAGGCATGTGCTATGTGAAATTTGAAGAGCTTCCTCCCAGCGATTTGATTTGATGAGCCCCATGATAAGGTGGAAAAATACACTTGGCTCTGGAACTCCTCCATTCCTTGTCATGTCAGCAAACAACTTAAAACCTTCATCAACTTTGGATGCAAGACACAAATTCTCAATCAGTGAGGAATAAACATGAGCCACTGAATGAATGGGGGCAAATGACGATATCTCTTTACACAATTGTACTGCTACATCCAGTCTTCCTGCCTTACAAAAGCTATCAACTAGAATTTTGTAAACAGGAGCAATAGGCACGAGCTCATTATCACTTAAAACGTCTAGGAGACCTAGGGAGACAATAAATTCTTGGTTGAATCCCTCGATAACTTTCTGATAGCTTGCAACATGCATAGGCCAATATGTCTGCTTCATCTCCTCCAGAAGGTCGTGAGCCTTATCTAGAAGGCCAAAAGAGCAACAGTGATTTATCAAAACCCTATAGGTCACATAATTTGGAGCACACCCCTTCTCATGCATCAAGTTGAATAGCTCAAGGCATCTCTCAATTTTACCAGCTTTCCCAAATCCATCAATCATTGCAGTATAAGTCACAACATTCGGACTGCAACCCTTTACATCCATCATCTGCATAAGCTTATAAGCCTCATCAGTCTTTAGTAATTTACACAACCCATCAATCATCTCAGTGTAAATTACAACATTAGGGGCGCAATCACTTTCCAGCATTTTCGATAAGATCGTTAAAGCAAGATCCATCCTTTTATCTTTGAACATCTTGTCAATAAAAGAGGCATAAGTGTATATGTCAGGACTGTATCCACGTTCAGACATTTTTGAAAATATCTCTTGTGCTTTATCAAGCTCCCCCACCTTGCAAAATCCATCAATCAAGGCATTATAGACAATGTTATTTGGTTCACAACCATCAGCAAACATTGCATCCAGTAAGTTGTGAGCATCTTTTACCTTGTGTGCCTTGCACAACCCGTCAACCAAGGCTCCATAAGTGAAAACATTAGGTGCATTAACATCAGAAGAATTTACCTTAAAATACATATCTACATCAGGTAAATTTTCTTGTCCTCTCATCCTAGCATATATTTGGCTAGCTTTGTCAATGTTTCCAGATTTGCAGTAACCATCTATTAAAGCAGTATAAGTCACAACATTTGGTACACATCCATCTGATAACATCATTTCAAATAGCTCATTGGCTTCACCTATCCTGCGTGCTTTAAGGTACGCATGAATTAATGTGGTGTAGGTCACCACATTAGGAGAACAACCATCTAAAACCATTTCGTTGAACCACTTACGTGCTTGGACAATAAGACCAGCCTTACAGAACCCATCAATCAGAATAGTGTAAGTATATACATCTGGAGTAATACCTGACCTTTTCATTTCTTCAAATAGCAAAAAAGCCTTCTGAACCTGTGAATTATTGCAAAGGAATTCGATAACCTTTGAGTATGTACTGTTATCAGGCACAAAACCCTTACTCATCATTTCTTGAATAACATTATATGCTTTGTCAAACTTCCCAGCCTCACAAAGGCGTCTGGAAAAGCTGCTTACATTAACCTTATTTAACACCAATCCCCGGTCAATCATTTCAGCATAAACTTGCTCTGCCAATTCTAAATCATATGAACTAGGTAGCTCCTTACAACAAATTCCACCAATTAATATGTTATATACCAGATAGCCGGGTTGGCAACCACAATTTGCCATATTCTCAAGCAACTTGTATGCATAAAAATAGTCACTTGAAGCGCAATATGCATGAATAAGTGAATTAAATATTCTACGATTAGGGTAGCATCCTTCAGCAATCATCATGCTTAATATTTTCTTACACCTACCCAGCTTCTTTTTCTTCAAACACCCACAAAGCAAAACCCTGTATGTTACTACATTGGGCAATGAAGAGCTGCATCTCATTTTGTTCAAAATATCCATGGCTTCATCAAAAAGAGAAGCTTCACATAAACCAGATATCATTGTTGTATAAAGTTTTGTGTCGGGGACAAAGTCTTCCTTCTCTACCAAGTCCAGGGCTTCACCGCACTTTCCAGCCTTGCACAGAGCATATGCGAAAGAATTCAACGTAGAGATATCCATTTTAAACCCAACATTTGACATCTCTGAATGAAGTAGATGGGCAGTGTCTAACCTACCAGCTTCTACAAATACCTGAACAAGAGCATTATATGTGGACTTAGATGGTTTGTGACCAAAATCCTTCAGCCTCCCAAGCTCCTCCAAGGCCACATTCCACCTCCCATCACGGCAACACTTCCTGACCAGAATATTAAGCAAGTTTTCCAGAACCCCCCTATCTTCGTCCTGAATATCTTGAAGAAAATGCTTGGGTATCCTATCATTCTGATCACACCCCATTACATCCAACAATGCATCATAAACAGGAGTAGTATGACTATACCCAACTTGCTGACCAGCCCATAAGAAAAACTGAACACTCAGCTGAGGGTTTTTAATAAGCTTCATCACATCAATTAATAAAGATTCGCTCAATTTGTCCCTAAACTTCCGAAGAAAGTTTTGGGTTTTGAACTCAAATACATTGCTACTCTCATTTATTGCACCTGAAATCAATAAAGCATCAGCTGAGAAATTACCCTGCTCTGCTACCAGCAATGAAGAATCCGAAGAACCCACAATGCAGTCACGCAATTGTGAGAATTCTTTGCTGGAAAGTGTATCTTCATGATAGTTGCTTGATTTAGAGAGAGCATCAGAATCAATCAATCCTCCAAGGGTATCTGTGGAAGAATGGTCACTGCTGCTCAAGAACTTGATGTGGGCGCATGAGAATCGAATGATACGAAATTGGCCGAAGATGAAAGAATAAGAGTTTGAAGAAAACGTTGAAAGCAGCGGAGATGACTTGTTTAGAGTCAATCCCAGCAATATTTTGCTCATTCTTTGGAGGATAAGGGGCATAGAGTCATGATCACCACAATTCTGCTAAATATTATTTGTTGGGTGTTTTGATTACACCTAAAAAATTCACACAACTGATAAATTAATGGGGAAGAACTGAAAAATCAAAAAGAAATTAAATAATAAAATTCCAAAGCATATAGTAGGTTGCATCACTAATGTAATGACCCATTAACAATGAATAAACCCTATATGCAAAACTCCAATTCAAGCCTACTTACATGTAAATTATAACATGACCAACAATATTTCAAAGCATATAGTATTTCATAACTTTGAATTTGTTACATACTACTACATGTGTTCATTTGATTACCAAACTTGTTATATCCTATATTCTCCATAATCACGAAGCTATGTTAATGTCAGGCAAATTTTTCCCTTAAATGTACAAGAAACCACAAAAATGTAGCAAATTTGTGGGCATATTGAAATTTGCAAGTTACCCAATACAAACTATAAGCTAAAACTCAAAATCAAAACCCCAGTACACCCATTATTCCCAAAAATAAGCAAAGTTATTAAGAATTGAAGGGAATCTAACCTTGATTTGAAAGTCACAGGTTGAGATATACTGCAAGGTGGTGGTAGAGATGGTGGTGCCGCTAAGAAGACGGAGGAACTGACCGTGATGTTGGTGTTGGAGGATAGAACGATGGCGGCGTTGGTGGGGGGAAGCCGGGAGGGGTTTAGAGCATATTTTGAAGTAGTGTATGCTCACTCTTCTAATTACTGCTTCCTCCGTCTTTTAATAAGTATTATAGTTTGATCAAACACGTATGCTGAGATATGATTTTGACCATAAATTTTTCTAATTATATGTTAGTGAAATTATATAATCATTCATTATTTGGATTAAAATCGAAATTCAATCCAATCAAATTGAATTATTGATTTTGATAGGATCTGAACTTTATATTGTATTGAATTGGATTGATTTTTTTTTAATCCAAAAAAAAAAAAAACCGAAATATGAAAAAAATATATAAATAAGAATTTTTAATATTGATTATATTAAACTATGTTTATAATTACATTAATCATGTAAAAATATGTTTTCAATACTCATATTAATCATGTATAACTATATTTTCAAGAATTGATTTTACTCATATTAATCATGTACAACTATATTTTCAAGAATTGATTTTATATAATTGTATTTTTTATTTTATAATCACATTTAAGCTCGAAAAACCAGCAACTTATTTTCATTTAGATTTTCATATCAAATCCAAATAACCGAATTTTAATTTGGATTGGATTTAGGGTCTGTTCACATTTACTGAACTGAATTGATTGGAGTTGAACTGAACTAAATAGAGCTGAAATGAATAGTTTATGAGAGAAGGAAATTAGGAGCTGAACTGACTGCAGCTAAACTGAACTGAAATTAAGCTGAAGTGAACAGACCCTTAGTGAGAAATTTCGGATCAGGTTGGATTTAATAATTGAAAAATTAAAAGTATTTCGCATCGGATTAGATTTGGGCTAAATCCAAATCGTAAACCAAATGGATGCCAGTATATGTAATATGACTCATGATCAACAGTGGGGCTCGATTTTAATGAAAAAATTGTTGATTTATTAACGAAAATATCATGTGATAAATAAAAGGAAAAATTTATTTTTGCTACCTATCAAACACATCAAATTGAATTTTGCTACCTATCAAAACTTTTATTTTATTTTTCTACCTAACATATGTCCTTTTTTTAAATTTTGCTACCACCGTTAAGGAATCCGTTAAAGAATCCGTTAAGTGGGTCCATAACGACACGTGTCGTGTTATTATTGGCCAAAAAAATTAAAAAAAAATAATAATAAAAAATAAAAAATAAAGAAAAACCTAAACTACCCAGCCACCACCCCCTTCCCCCCAACTCACCGCACCCCTCCCCGAAACCACCACCCGCGTCGCACCACCAGCCCCAACCCACCTGAACCCTCCCCCTCCCTTTCCCGCAACCGCGTCGCCCCCAAAAACCACCAAAACTAAAACCCTAGATCCCACCACGGCCACGAATCTGGCCACAAATGGCCGAAATCGGCCGATTTTGGGGCTCAGTGGCCTTAATCGGCCGATTTCGGCCTTCTAAGGCCAAATTCTTAGCCGTTTTTGGGGACGAGGGTTTTGGGTTTTTGGGGGCGACGCGGTTGTGGGAAAGGGAGGGGGAGGGTTCAGGTGGGTTGGGGCTGGTGGTACGACGCTGGTGGTGGTTTCGGGGAGGGGTGCGGTGAGTTAGGGGGGAAGGGGGTGGTGGCTGGGTAGTTTAGGTTTTTCTTTTTTTTTTTTAATTTATTTTTTTAATTTATTTATTTATTTTTTTTTTAATTTTTTTGGCCAATAATAACACGACACGTGTCGTTATGGACCCACTTAACGGATTCCATTCAGTGGTAGCAAAATTTTTAAAAAGGGCATTTGTTAGGTAGCAAAATAAAATAAAAGTTTTGATAGGTAGCAAAATTCAATTTGATGTGTTTGATAGGTAGCAAAAATCAATTTTTCCTAAATAAAATTGTTTATCTTAGCGATAAACTTGTATAGTTGTATTTCTCGATTTTCAATTACTATATATAAAAAGATCAACGGGAAACAATTTACATGATAAAATAGGTTGGAATAGTGGTAAGACTTTTGAACTTCATTTTCCTTTCCTTTTTTACTAAAGACAGGAAAAATAAGTTAGTGAAATAATGGAATAATACAAGTTTGATTGATTAAAAATAACAACCAGTCCCAAAAAAATTAAGGGGTTGTTTAGTTACAAAAAGAAAATGGTGGAAGTGGAAAATCATGGAAATTTGAAAATGGGTGAGTTGTTTGATTGACAATAAAAAGCGTAAATGTGGGAATTGCAAATTTATGGAAATTTTGACTTTCTACAAAACATTGGAAGTTAAACCTCTAGGTAAGTCAAACTTCCCATGATTTGTAACTTCCTTCAGTCAACCAAATAACTTTATACAATTCCCATAAATTTGATATAAGAATTTAAATATTTAATTCTCGTGAAATACAAATTTCTATAGGAAGTAAATTCCCATAGCGATCAACCGACACCTAAAATATAGAGGTAACAAACATTGAAACATGTGTGATGTGTTGAGTATTTTTTTAATGCAAACATAAACACCAGGTTACAGTCGTTACACAATACAACTATTTTTAATCAATTATTATCCCAGCAAACAAACAGGCTGTAAAAGATGTTTGGGACATATTTATCCTTCCATTCAACACTTTCTCTATGTTTATGTCCCAATTTCTGAATACTCAGAATTCTGTTCATTGTTGATCTGCATTCAAATCATGGAGTATCCTAATAGTATGTCTCTAAATTTTTGCCCTTTTTATTTTCCTTTGTTTTCTTATTCTGCTCATTTAAAATCCTGTTTTCCTGAAATTCAATTGGACCTAATTATTGATCAACTTTTTATTGAATTTTAGTGGGTACTGAATTATTTGTTCTGATGTTCTGTGTTAGTCATATATGAATGATTTAGTAGTCATTTGCATTTATCCGCTTTAATCCGTGATTGAGATAGCTGATTGCTTGCTTGTCCACTCAATCTAGAAATTATCCTGAGATTCTTCCAACCTGTGTGAGTAATGTGACATCTCTATTACCCGTGTTGGATCCTCGACACTCTAACATGACATTTCAACATTTATTTTAAAGCCAAAATCATGAAATATTTTCACAATATGACCATTAGCCAAGTCAAATACTTACGCACTTACCAGTCCAGCACAAGTACTTGAGTCCGAGTAACAATAGATTCAACCTAATGGTATCTTAATAAAAGTATGACATGTTTAATAATAGTTGGGCTAATCCTAATCTTGATAGTATTCACTATATGATTCTTGTGATCTTGTCAGTATGAAGTCAAAATTGAGTTGAAAATTTGTATGATGATATGTACAGGGAAAATACAAATTAATCTTCGTGATAACAAAAATTGTTTATTTAGTGGCATTTTCGTAAATAAATCAACAAAACATGCTAGCTAGTATGACATTTTTGTAAATAAGTCAACATTTATGGGACCCGCATTTTAATGCCACGATCAACAATGCTAAATGTAATGTATTTTTTTTTTAAAAAAAAAAATCCAATTTGGACTGCCTATGCAGCTGTACAGGATAGAGATGAGAAATTCTTGACAAAAGCAATAGAGGAAGCTTACAAGGGGGTGGAATGTGGACATGGGCGCCCCTTTGGTGCTGTTATTGTTTGTAACGACGAAGTAGTGGTCAGCTGTCACAACATGGTGTCGAAAAACAAAGACCCAACTGCACACGCAGAGACCACGGCTATAAGAGAGGTTAGATTACTAGCTCTGCTACACAATGGACCTCATTGCTTAGGACATTGACTAAAGCAAATCAGTGATATTTGTTTGACAGGTTTTATGGATTTGTATGATCAATGTGTGTCTATCTTCTGTGAATTCGTTCAACTGTATATCTTGTGCTACAATATATCCACTCAATGTTTAAATAGAGTGGATAATTCAAACTTTAAAGGTTGTTGATTGCTTCCATTTATCTTGAGTGTCACGATTGAAGTTCATTTCAATAGGGCTAAGAAAATACTGCAGAGTACTCGATTTGATGTTTGTGTTTACTGAATTCTGCTATGTGTTTTGTCCTAGTGAACTGTCCTGTGCTCCAACAAGCAAATATGCCTTTCAAATTGACTTCTAAACAAGTTTTGGCTTTATCACATTTACTTGTTGCTCTTGTGCTATTTCTATCATTAGAAACTTCGTGAATTTAGTTAGTAATACAAGGGTTGATGTGCTGTATAATTCTGAAGCTGTAATCCTGTAACTGTATGCTAATTTATTGAAATTTACATTATCGTTCATTAGATTCTACACATCTTAAGTTTCATGACATGTGTGTTAGTAGAAGTTATACAGCATTTTGAACAACACTTTCAATCACTCAAGGCCTATTTTGAGGATTATAGTATAGATATATGCATGTAACATTGTAACCTTACCAATTGTACAAATGAGAAAAAAAGGGGAGGCTAGATGTCCATTATATACCAGAATTTTGTTGGGTAATGCTCCTGAGACTGTAGTGAAGTCAGTTTGAAATTCTGAGCCAAAAGTGGACGTCGTGATCTTTAAGGATTATTGTGGTATTCTTCTCTGTGATAGGATTTGCGAGTTACAAACTTTGCAGTTTGAACTATAACATGTCAATAAATCATGATCATCAGATACTTCATTTTTTTTTAATTAGATTGATTATTTCAGGCATGTAATAAGCTTGATCGAATTGAGCTGTCAGATTGTGAAATGTATGCATCTTGTGAGCCATGTTCAATGTGCTTTGGCGCTATACAACTTTCGAGAATTAAGGTTAGTTTTAATGTCTATGAACATTACTTAATTCTGATGACTATGCCCAGGTTGCTGATCTTTATAGCCTGTCATATTTCAAAAAACTTATTTAGTTATTATACTTGAACAGAGGTTAATGTATGGTGCTAAGGCTGAAGCTTCGATAGCAAAGGGCTATAAAGCTTCCATTTCTAATGCATTGAGGGGCACTGGAGTTTATCAAACGACGACTGACATCGAGATCAAACAAGCTGATGGCAATCTAGCCATCATTGCTGAACAAGTATTTGAGAAATTTCCTAAATCCAGTGCTTAATAATAAGTACAGCAGTCAGTCAATTTTCGAATTTTGTAAAATGACTCCATTTCTCCACCAATGTGGGGATTAAGAACTTTTATTATCTTCAATGAAGATGTTCATGAATTATACAAAGGAGTCTTTAATGGCTTTAATTAAACTAATATAATCAATTTCTTTATGTAAGCTTAAGCCTTTGTTTAGTTTACCACCACCTCTTCCTCCTCGTCCTACTACTACTACTAGAGATGAACATAATTGAAATGGACAAAACTGAAAGGAGCTGAACTAAACTTGACTTAATTGAATATAAATGAACATAATTGAAATGGACAAAACTGAATGGAGTTGAACTAAACTTGACTTAATTGAATAGAATTTAATGGAGCTAAATTGAACTTGATTGAGCTTAACAAAGTTGAATTGAAATGAAATTTTGAAATATACCATTAAAAGAACAAAGACTAATGGTTTTGAGAGTCTTGTTAGGGCCTGTTCTCATACATTGAAATTCAATTTAATTCAGTTCAGCTCCTAATTTCTTTCTCTTATAAAATATTCATTTCAGTTCAGCTCAGTTCAGTTCAGCTGAGTTCAGTCAATGAGAACAAGACCTTAATGACTCCCTCCGTCCCAAAATTACCGTTACATTCGACTTTTTATTATTGTATTTTTCTTGGTATGATTTTGACCATTAATATGTTTAATTGCTTACTAATAAAAACTACTCCCTTCCCATTATTAAAATCCAACTTTTATAACTTTTGCTAGTGTGATATTAAAGATAAATACGGTTTAAGATTTGCATCAATATACGTAAATGAAAATTTATAGAAGAAGTTTTAAATTTTATTTCACTAAGTTAAGTGACCAATAATTAAACATTTTTCCCCAAAAATGCTAGAAATTGCTCAAATTTCAAAAATATCATCCTTTTTTACATTTTATTACCTTGGTAGAAGGTATTATTTTTTATCAGTACACGAAATTTGAAGTAGCAATTTTTTCATACTTGAAAACCTTTACTTGAAGATGACTGTTACTTCAAGTAGTGGTTATTGCTGTACTTTTTTTTTTTTTAAATCTCCTTGAACCCATGAATAATAGATTGGAAAAAAAAAAAAAAAGAGATTGTATTTGTGGAATAGGGTCATTTATCAGCATTATTGAATATTGAGGATAACATTCCAATAATTAAAGGTCCAGCTACATGTTTGACAAATACTCCATTCTTAAAATATTTGTACTGTGTCAATTCCATTCCACACTTTCTCCAATATATCTTGGACTTTTACTCATTCTTAAGCTCAATTCAATTCATGGAGGATGCTAATGGTATGTCTCTAACTTTTAGCCCTTTTTATTAATGATCCTATTTTGCCTGAATTAATTTCAATTTGACTATATTGTAATTGATTAAGTTATTTGTGTTCACTTTATTGACTAGTTTATTTGTGTTCCCTTTTATTACCCAAAGTTAGTTGTTACTCAGACTCTATACTTTGTCTCAAGTATGCATCAGTGTATATACTATTAGTATTGAACATGTTATATGTTAAGATGCTTACTGCAAGCTACATAATTCATGTACTAATATTTATTAATTGTGATTTAAGCCAATCTAATGGCAGTGGTCTTTTTTCCCTCTTACTATTTGCTCAACTTTAGGAATTTCCCTTGTCATCACCGATTTTAGCTTCTACACATCCCTTAGGCCCCGTTTGGTTTGATGTAAAATGTTTTCATGGAAAATGATTTTCCCATTACGTTCCATTTCCCTATGTTTGGTTTGTGAAGGAGCGTAAAATAATTTTTCCAATGGTGGAAAACATTTTCCTTTCCAAAACAAGAGAAGCTAAGTTTTTCTCCCTTCTTCTTATTTCCATTTTACTTTCCTCTCATCCATTCCCACATTTTTTCAAACCTGTTTTAATTTCTCTTTAACTTTTCTTGTAAAAACCAAACAAAAGAAAACTATCTTGCAAGTGTGGTTTCCCTTGAATATATGTTTTTCATTAACCCCGTTTGGTTTGATGTAAAACATTTTCATTATAAGGTTCCCTTTCTAGTATTTGGACTGTACTCGCTCACAGCAATTCTGTTTTCATCTTCTAGCATCTCTTAATTAAATAGTAACATAAGAGGAAATCAAATCATAAACCGTTACTATAATATAGTTGTATGTTTGGACGAAGGGGATTAAGTTAATCCGCCTTTTGTGTAATAGTACCCAGTGTATGACTTACTGCTAATTATATTGTTTCGTTCTCATATTTGGACTGTCTAAACAGCTATAAAAAATAGAGATGACAAACTGTTGACAAAAGCAATTGAAGAATCTTATAAGGGAGTTCAATGTGGACATGGGGCTCCTTTTGGTGCTGTTATTGTTTGTAATGATCAAGTAATTGTCAGCTGTCACAACATGTCGCGGAAGTACAATGACCCAACTGCACACGCAGAGGTCATAGCCATAAGAGAGGTTAAATTACTAGATTCGTAGTTTTTTTTTTTTTTGAGAAAAGGAAGTGATCAATTAAGTAATAGTAAGGTTAGGAGTTACAAAAGCTGTTGCATGATGCCTTAGGAGTTATTCGTGCTTGCATTAATTTGCTACATACAGAATGAAACTCATTGCTTAGGACATTGATTTACTGCAACAAGTACTATATGTTTAGGAAAAGTTTCGATATAAAACATCATTTATTTTTTAGCTATGTTATATGGTCTCTTAATATTTGTTTAGGAAAATTAAAGTTTCGATTTATTTCTTTGTGAATAAGATCGATCAACTGCATCTCTTGTACTTCAATTCTTATGTTTCTTCCGGGTTGTTGAATAGAATAGACAGTTTTGAGGTTGCTATGCATTAAGTTGTTAGTTTGTTACTGTATCTTGAATGATAAGCTAGGGCATCTTCAGGTTCCTTTTGCCTTATTATTCAAGCTTAATTTATCTCTTTTTGTTTTGTCAAAGATGCTTTAGTTAGGGATGGAACGTTAATGAGATGTTTGTGCTAATTAGAATCTTCTTTGCTCCAACAAACCCAATATGCCTATAAAATAAGTTTTTGGCTTTCACAATTGCCTGTTGCACTAGTGCTGTTTCTACACCTGACACTTCTCGAATTTAGTTGCTGATTCTGTGATTAATATGCTATTTCATTCTGTTAGCCTAATTGCTATCTTATTGCAATTTGATCAAGAAATTATAGTTTTCCTCTGCACTTTCTACTTCTCTTTGTACTTGTATAACTCTAAAACGGCCTTATGGTTATGTTATAATTCGTTTCCATCTTGGTTGGATAGTACTGTAATAAATTAAAACTGAATTTGTGTGACAAGGGAATTCATAAACCATAGGGCAAATGGGCAATCCCTCTTGGTTGGCTAATGCTGTAATACTCAGGGTTCTTTTTCTGAGTATCTTGGAAATGTGTAACCATATGGTTGTACAAATTAGTGAAACGGAGACTAGTAGTTGATTATAATCCAGAGCTCAGATGATTTTTTGAGGCCTCATTTGGTATAGTTTGATTATCAGTTCCTGGTTTAAGTTTCTGTCATCTATATCAGGCCTTGTTTCAGTTTTTTTTTCCTTAAATCATTTTCGGTTAACAGTATATCTTATTAGGAGGCAATCTATAAATTTTTTTAGTCTGCTTCAAATAAGTGTAGCCAAGTGAATCCTCTGCTAGTTGTATTTGTTTTCAGTTGTGACCTCCCTTTTTATTTTTCACAACATTGGTTTTTTCAGGCATGTAATAAACTCAATCGAATTGAGTTGTCAGATTGTGAAATGTACGCGTCTTGTGAGCCATGTTCAATGTGCTTTAGCGCGATACAGATTTCAGGAATCAAGGTTTGTAGTAATGTTTATGAATACCACTTATTTCTGATGATTATGCCCAGATTCTTGCTGATCTTTGTTCTTGATAATAATGTTTTAAACGCTTGCATTTTATTAACAGAGAGTAATCTATGGAGCAAAAGCTGACACTGCTAGAGCAATGGGTTATAGATCTCCCATTTCTGATGCGTTGAGGGGCACCGGAGTTTATCAAACAGCAGCTAACCTCGAGATCAAACAAGCTGAGCATAATTTGGTTATCATCGCCGAGGAAATATTTGAGAAATTTCCTAAATCTAGTGCTTAAGAAAATAAAAATACAGCAATAATCAATCAATATGCTTGGATTTGCGCTGCTCACATTATTCCATGAAAACCATCTGTCTGAATCTGATCCCATGAAAACACATTTTTGTAAGAAGGCATAATTAATATGGAATGATTTGTAATATTATTTTAGATTTAAGGAGTTACATTTATAGGACGAATTCAGTTTTTGATATCTTATTTTTCTTTAATAATTACCTAAATCTTAAGTGCTAAAATGGTCAATCATCACAATTTCACAACTAGCTTAGTCTAAATCAGTAAATGACACCATAAATGACATTGTTGGTGTTAATATAACTTCTTTCCTAAATTTACCTCCTCTTAAAATCTTAATATGCGTATAGACAACATCATTTTGAGGATGACTTAATGTTAGTTGTGTAGGGTTTTAGGTACTCTAAGCGGAATTTCATGAATCACATTCATACGCACCTAAACAGGATCTCATGCATATACAAATAAAGATCACATAACAGTTTAGAATTAACCTTTGAAGCGTGAATCCTCTTAGCAATCTTCTTCTCTACCGGAGATAAAGAGCCTCAATTGTAACTCCTCTATTCGGTCCACCGGATTGAATCAACACTCCACCAATGCTAGTTGGACGGGAAAAACCTTTCACCTTTCTTGGAGTTGAGAACCAATTTTAGAGAGAAAATATTGAGAGAAAACTTACGTTGTTTTTCAGAAAACTGAATACTATGTATTTTAATTATCCCTAACTAATTAATATATAATCATATTATTATTAATTAGGTTAGGGTTTTCTCTCCCCTTTCCCTATTTGGCCGGTCACCCTAAGGCCCACTCTGGGCTTCGGGTTTCTTTATTGATCCAATCCTAATGTGTGACCTTGTAGGATCCGTTTAGGCGGGCTTCGAGTTTGTTACTTACTAACCCAAAGTTCTATAGCATTCTCTAGCAAGACGTATAGACGACCCAAATAAACGAATTACTATCTCTGTAATACGATCCATGATTATATTAAGTAATTGCATTAAAGTCGAGGACACACTTCCTTCAATCTCCCACTTGTCCGAGACAAGTATGCAATATTCAAATTCCTTAAGTCTCTTAGTGTCTAATTTGATAGTATGATCACATCTCTATGTTATCCATACCAGCGTTCAAATTATTTCTTGAAATCCGAGTTTGAATTGCTAAACAAATGATCATCTTATGATCCATTTGAGCACGGCCATGCATTTTCAATTCTTACTCTTCAAGAGGCCAAGACACCCATCCTATCTAACATAGGAGGACCTATTCAATCTTGTGGCAACCAAAACTCCCACTCAACTTTTAGCACAACCTGAGTGTCGCCTTTATAGTCCCCTTTTACGGCATGACGTTTGACAACATCAAGGTTACACTAATCATTGAATTGAGTAGTGTTCCACTCATGTCTAAGGAATCCGCTAATATAATTCGCGAAGTTTTAAAACTTCTAAGTAGGTCTGTTCGATCATGTATCGACTATACATATCCATATGATTGACTAAACATCTCCATGTTTCCATAGCGCATGAAACAACACCATCAATCAATCTTATATGCTAATCCTTTTATTGAGTCATTTATGTCCAAATTAACAACTCAGATTAGGAACTTAAATATTTTATGAATCCAGTTCACTTATGGGGTTTCATTCATCAAATCACGTATTTGACAATCCCATTAAATTCAATAAATATGTTGGACATTTTATTTAATACTAAACCAAAATTAAATAAGATGAAAAATTCATACTATATAAACATAAAACATGAAATCATGTCTTTAACTTGTAACAAGTTTCTCTAAACAAAAACAATTTAAAGCCATTCTAACACTTGCTTCAACCCTACAGCCCTAGCGTGACGTTCATGCTTGGGTTGAGGGAGAGGTTTAGTAAGTGGATCAGCAACATTCTCATCCGTGTGAACTTTGCAGATCTTGACATCATTCCTGTCTACAATCTCGCGAGTGAGGTAATACTTCCTCATTACATGATTGGATTTGTCGTTTGATCTTGGTTCTTTTTCTTGCGCAATAGCTCCATTATTATCACAAAACAACTCAATTCCTTCTAGAACACTAGGTACGATCCCTAGCTCTGTTAGGAACTTCTTTATCTAAACAGCTTCCTTAGCTGCTTCTACCGCCGCTAAATATTCTGATTCTGTCGTAGAGTCTGCTACAGTGCCTTGCTTTGAACTCTTCCAGCTCTCTGCTCCTCCATTCAGACAAAAGATGTACCCTGATTGCGAGCGGTAATCATCTCTGTCGGTTTGGAAACTTGCATCAGTATAACCTTTAACAACCAACTCATCTACTCCTCCATAGACCAAAAACATTCCTTTAGTCCTTCTCAAGTACTTTAGGATGTTCTTAGCCGCAGTCCAGTGTGCTTCACCTGGATTTGCTTGGAATCTGCTGCATAAGCTCAGAGCAAATGCAACATCCGGTCGAGTGCATATCATGGCATACATGATAGAACCTATAGCCGAGGCGTAAGGTATGCTACTCATTCGCTTTAACTCATTAGGCTCCAATGGGCACTGACTCTTGCTAAGAGAAATGCCATGTGACATGGGAATGAATCCTCTCTTAGAGTTTTCCATATTGAACCTTGCAAGAACCTTATCAATATAAGTCTCTTGGCTCAGTCCAAGCATCCTACGAGACCTATCTCTATGGATTTTGATTCCCAAAATGTACTCAACTTCTCCAAGGTCTTTCATAAAAAAACAACTTCTCAACCCTTCCTTGACTGACTCAAGCATTGGTATGTCATTTCCTATGAGTAGTATGTCATCTACATACAAAACCAAGAAGACTAAGCTACTCCCATTAAATTTCTTGTAGACACAAGATTCTTCTTCACTCTTGAGAAAACCAAACTGTTTGATTGCCTCATCAAATCGAAGATTCCAGCTCCGAGACGCCTGCTTTTATCCATAAATGGATCTCTGAAGCTTGAAAACTCTTTTGGGATTTTTTGGATCTTCAAAAACCCTCAGGTTGTGTCATGTACACATCCTCCATCAAGAACCCATTCAAGAAGGCGGTTTTGACATCCATCTGCCAAATTTCATAATTGTAATGTGCAGAAATCGCCAAAAGTATCCGAATTGACTTAATCTTTGCCACTGGAGAAAAGGTTTCATCATAGTCTATACCATGTATTTGTTTGAATCCTTTTGCAACCAGTCTTTCTTTATAGATATAGACATTTCCATTCTTGTCTGTTTTTATTTTGAACACCCACTTGCATCCAATAGGTTTAACCCTATCAGGAAAGTCGACTAGGGTCCAAACTTTGTTCTCAGACATGGAGTCCATTTCAGATTTCATGGCCTCAAGCCATTTCTCAGAGTCTGGGCTCGTCAAAGCTTGTTTGTAGGTAGTAGGCTCAGAATTTTCCAAAATCCATATTTCTGAGTCTTCTGTTAACAGGAAATCAACCAACTGCTTGTTTGGGATCCTTGTTATACTCGACCTATGTGGGGCTTGAGCATCAATAGAAATATTCTCTTCAACATCTTGAAGATTTTCGCATGAATTAGATTCAAGTGGGACGACAGGAGTTTCGCTTAATGAATTAGCTTGCTCCGACACCTGACCTGTCATAGCAGAGTCATGCGCCCTCGCCTCTGACGTGGTTGGATCCACATCCATTTGATGCTCATCTCGAATTTCTTCGAGAACTATTTTACTCCCACTTGTCTTTCTGGAAATAAATTACTTTTCAAGAAAGACACCATCACGAGCAACAAACACTTTGTTCTGTTGACGGTTATAGAAGTAGTAACCCCTTGTCTCTTTGGGTATCCCACAAAGAGACATTTATCTGATTTGGGTGCAAGTTTGTCTGACAGTAAGCGTTTTACAAAGACCTCACAATCCCAGATTTTAAGAAAGGATAAGTTCGGAACTTTTCCATTTCACATCTCATATGGAGTCTTTTCTAAAGCCTTTGACGGGATCCTATTTAGTGTGTGTGCAGCTGTTTCTAGAGCATATCCCCAAAAAGAAATTGGAAGATCAGCAAGACTCATCATTGATCGAACCATATCCAGTAAAGTTCGATTCCTCCTTTCTGACACACCGTTTAACCGTGGCGTCCCTGGTGGAGTTAGCTGTGAAACTATTCCACAATCCTTTAGATGATCATCGAATTCTTGGGTCAAATATTCCCCACCACGATCAGATCATAATGCTTTTATTGTTTTACCAAGTTGATTCTGTACTTCATTTTGGAATTCTTTGAACTTTTCAAATGATTCCAACTTATGCTTCATTAAGTAGATATACCCATATCGACTTAAATCATCAGTAAAAGTGATGAAGTAACTAAACCCACCTCTTGCCTTTGAACTCATAGGCCCACAAACATCTGTATGTATAAGTGCCAAGAGATCATTGGCTCTTTCACCCTTTCCAGTAAAAGGTGACTTTGTCATTTTCCCCAACAAGCATGATTCACATACATCAAATGATTCATAATCGAATGATGTAAGGATTCCATCCTTTTGTAACTTTTGGATGCGCTTTTGGTTTATATGACCCATCCGGCAATGCCATAGATATGTTGGGGTTAAATCATTCGACTTTTGTTTCTTGCTATTTATGTTATAGACTTGTACTGTCCTATCAAGTACATATAAGCCATTAATCAATTTTGCACTAGCATAGAACATGTTATTGTAAGAAATGGAACAACATTTGTTCTTAATCTCAAAACAAAAACCTTCATTATCCAAAACAGAAACAGAAATAATGTTCTTAGTAATTGACGGAACGAAATAACAATTATTAAGCTCTAAAATTAATCCAGACGGTAAATGCAGACTATAACTTCCGACGGCAAGTGCAGCAACTCTTGCTCCATTTCCGACGCGAAGCTCCACCTTGCCTTTTGCTAGTTTTAAGACGTTCCATGCTTTCAAAAAGACCCATCATTTTGAAAGCACGTTGGCGAACAGATTCACCATTTTCCATCTTGCACTCCAAAATCTCCTTATTGATCTCATATCTCTCAATCCTGGCCTGTTTATGAAACATTACCTTAAGCTCTTGCATAATGGTGTAAGCATCTTTGGTCTCAAACCTTCTTTGGAGGTCTAGTTCCATAGCCGCCGCCATGAAGCAAGTGATTGGAGTAGACCTATCATTAGCCTGCTTAGCACGACGTTTATCAGCATC